GTTTCTCTCTCACTGGCCATAAGAATTCGTCAAATTCCTGCGAGTGAGAGAGAGAGAGAGAGAGAGAGAGAGAGAGAGAGAGAGAGAGAGAGAGAGAGAGAGAGAGAGAGAGAGAGAGAGAAACGCAGGCTGTCTCACTTTTCTACGATCGTAGAATGTACTGTTTCTCTCTCACTCGCGGGAATTTGACGAAGTCTTATGGCCAGTCTCTGATTACAGGGTCTCTATTTTGTGCTATTTCGTTTTCTCCTGTTCACATGCGAACGAGAGAGAACGAAATAGCACAAAACAGAGTTCGTCCTTTTCCACGTGGGCCTCTACCCCCGCTGCTCAGTGCTCGGTCTAGATATATTATGTCTATGACGTCCCACGACCCAATATGCTCCAGCTTGCCCCAAAAGACCAATACCGTCATTTGGTTTACGATTTAAGCGACTCTAGCCGCGTTCGGCATTGCAGACCCGAGGCGTCGGAGCGCTCTTTCGCATTCGAGTGAGCGAGAAAGAGGAATGAGACAGAAAGGGAGGATTTGCAATGGCGAACGCAGCCGGTATTGGTCGTTGCGACGCGAGCAGGCCTAAAATTTCCTTGGCGAGTTTAACATTTATCAATGAAATTCTTCCGCCTTTCGCGGGTTCGCGCTAGAGAAAAAGGACCCACGATCGTGGCTCGCGTCAGCGATCGTTCGCTCGGCCACGCCAACGGGCCACGGGGGCCCCGGGAATGCCCGCGGCGCGGCGATTCGAACGACATCGTGCGTGCGCGCGTGCAGTTCCGGCGCGCCATCCGCGCGTCGACGCACGCAGGCGGGCGGGCGGGCGGACGGACGGGCGCCAGGCCAGGCACTGTGCGGGACGCGGTTGATCGCCGACATCGCGGACGTGTCGGTGTCCGTCGTGAGTCCGGGAAGTTACGGCGCGGTGCGGCGCGCGTGTGTCGCATTGTGCGTTACGCGGAACGTCACGTACAATACATACGGCGTACTGGCCGTTCCCTCGCGCTAGTTACACGCGCGGGCGGAGTGTTACGGAGTATATCTCCTCTCCTTTCTCTCTCACTCTCTCCCAGCGTCCGGCGTGAAATGTCAAGCGTCCTGCGTTACCATGGGCTGAATCCCGCCGCGGCGTAGAGCTGTCAGATCGCGCGCGCGACGAGGCGAGGGGACCGCGTACCCGGGGGGACGTGCCCGCGGGTGAGCGACGAGCGGACACGACGGGGGAGGGACCGCGGTGTGAAAGTCAAGTTGACTGCGCGTTTGTCCCATCTTCTCGTCCCCCTTTTCTCACTTTCCGCGACGCAAGTGGTTTTTCCCCGCCGCGAGACGGGACAAAGGAGCCCACGCGACCGCGACGGCCACGAGGAGGCGAGCGCGCCGATGTCCGATCGCCAACGATGGAGCCCGAGGAGCCTCTCATGCAGGGGGTGCTGCTGCTACCGCCGCAGGGAATGCTAGGCCAGCTCAAGGTTGGTCAATTGGCTCGCGCGGCGCGAGAGATAACCCGCGGGATGCGCCGCGCGCTGACGCGATATCGCGATATCGCGACGCCTCGTCCGCGGGCGTCTGTTCCTCTTCCCCACCCGCCTTTTTGCACGCTGCTCCCGCGCGACAGGTGCACGCGCGCGCCCTTTAAACGCTCGAAAGGAAGAGCGAATTGTATCACCCATCGTCCCTATCTCTCTCTTATGTAACGGCGAGATTGCCAACGGTCCTCGCTTGCTTTCAGAAATCGTGGCACAAGAGATTCTGCCAGCTCTTCAGGACGAGCAACTACGGGATCAAGCGCGTCGAGATCTACGACAGCCAGGAGGAGGCGATACTGCAGTCCCACTCTCCGCGCATCGTCACGCTGGACGCCTGTATCAAAATTGCACCCAGCAATCAGTCGCATGTCTTTAAGGTGCGTACTCGTTCTTCTACTCTTGATTCCTCGCTCTAACAGAGGCATTTCACTGGCTCGCCGCCTCGAGAACGGCCGTTGACGTGTTTGCGCTGCGTGCAGGTGGTGACCAAGTCGGGAATACACTATTTCGGCTGTTACTCGGAACTCGAGATGACCCACTGGATCACGGCGTTCCAGCTAGTCGCGTTCAAGGACAGCGTGACGAATCAAATAGAAGAGAACAACGATCTGTACTGCACCAGTGGGGAGGGCGTGTTTTCCGTGAAGGTCGTCGAGACGGACGCGTCCAAGCGGTGCGGGCTGGAGACGCGAAACTATACCTTGGTAATCGCCGCCGTGGACATGAAACTGATGGACGGTGACATCGTGCTGTTCACGTGGCCGTACAGGTACATCAGGAGGTACGGGTACAGGGACGGCAAGTTCATCTTCGAGGCCGGCAGGAAGTGCGAGTCCGGCGAGGGCTCCTTCCGCCTGGAGCACGGTAGCCAGCAGGAGATCTTCCGGTGCATGTACGCGAAAATGAAGTCTATGAAGAAGCTGCTGGACGAGGAGAGCAATTCGAACATAGATTGCAACGACACCCAATTCCAGGCGGCCTTGTCCATGGAGGCTGGCTCGAGAGCGGCCTTACCTCCCTCTTCGAACAATTCCTCGAGCAATCTGATCGACATAGATTTTTCTACCGCGCAGAACTCCCAGAAGCAGCTGTCCTCGTCGACGAGCATGGACTCGGCGATCTCGTCGAGCAGGTCGCTTAATAAATCCAAGCCCGCGAAACCGCCGCGGAAGTACGTCTTCGCCAACTTGCTGGAGAAGAGAAATCTCGACTCCCCGGAATTCCTGGACCTGCCTACGTGCGGCGAATACAGAACTATTAGCCAAGGTAATTCGCCGGAGTTGTCTCACAAGAGCATCGGCGGTGTTGCGCGCGAGGACGAGAAGCACCCGTACGACTTGGTGGAAATTAGGAACGACGCTTGGAAAACGCACGGCATCGACAGCGTGCATCACACGGAGAGAATAAACTCGAATCTACCTGGCGAGAGAGATAAGGAGAACGACAACGACGACCTGCAGTACGAGATCATGATGCCGGCACGGAATCACGATTCATTCCAGAATTCGTACAAGAGCAAGTGCGGCGTGGCCGACAACGCGATTGTCGTCGTGCCGTCGGGGATACAAAGCAAGACGGACGAGTCGGACTACGATAAATTGGAACACTTTGGATCCGCGACGAAGCTTAGTCAGAAGCCCACGTACAAGTATACGAATTCCACGCAAAGCGTACATTCCAACGTCTCTCACGGAGAAAGTTCGAGTCTTATCAATCCGACGTGGTCCAACTATGAGATCGTCGACGATATGTCCGCCATCAGGCTGGCCGACGACAGTCATCTCGGTTATGGGATTATCCGGAAGAAGCCGGATCTCTCCGAGACGACTTCCACCGGCAACACCGCGGTCGGTCCGCAGCACAAGGTTTTTAACAACAGCGAATACGCCATTGTGTCGAAACCAAAAAGGGTGTAAAGTGCCCGTGCGCTCGAGCGCCCTTTCAAAGTACGCGACGGGCATGCTACGAATTCGCCTTTACGAAATTCTTTTTGTAATTATTTGTGTAAGGATATGAAGAATATGCTAGTCTATATCGCGTCGTTAGAATGAAAGTATTCCTCTTTTACCAAGTGATTGGCACGTTGCAAAATGATATCATTACTTTCGCGTTGTCGTATATTTGTCCGACATTTTTACTCACTTTCTGTATCACTTCTTTTTTTAGAGACTAGTCTTTGTAATTTCTCTTACAAGTCGAGTGTCCAAAGGAATTTAATCCTCGAAAAATCATAGACGCGTCTGTGCCTTCTCACGAAAGATATTTTCTAGTATTGATTAGGGGAGCTCAAAGTGATTAGTATTTTATCCAACTTCATTCGACTGATTTATCAAAATACCTGTATAGTGCCTTGTAAAAACGAAAATATGTCAATTGATGCCAAAACAAATACTAAATCGTTGAACGTGCATGCGCGTTAAAAATCTTGATATTTGAATGTACGTATTGGTGTACTTAGAAATTTATTATTACATATATTACAGTTATATTCTATTGCTATTCTACTATCATTGTACCATTGTTATCGCTCTCATTCTATAATTATTGTTATATTCATATATATGGATAATTCACGTTTGTATCTATTATTATATTATTGAATTACAATGCGAAAACGCGTTCTACCCAGGCGTGTTATAAATTTCGTTTCAACTGCGAGACTATCGATATAAGGATGTACATAATTTGATACAAATACTTTCGTAAAAAGAGAACGAAGGGATCGTCACAATTGGATAAATTTATAGATATTTAACAGTATGTATGCTGCCACAATTTTAGATATACATATGCATAATGAATATTAGTGCTTTCGACGTTGATCGGATCAATCGTTTGCCTGAACATAGGCATCAAAATTTAATTGTATGAAACTTATCGCGTTGGATTTCAACAATCCAGAATTATTTCTGTTCAATTATCACATCCACTATATATCTAGTATGTATAATAGTGAAACAATAGCAGACGGGCTATTATTTGTACAATAGAAACCGCTATTATTCATTATGCTCAAATTTATGACGCACGAGTCAGATGCAATAATGATATATATGTAAGAATAAACAACTATTTTATATATTTTTTTATCTACAGAATCTTTTTACAAAATTGTATAAAACAATGACTTTAAGAATTTGTTGAGGAGCCGTTTGTAATAATATGTCCTTTGTGCCAAACAAATGGTCTACCATTGAAATGTCAATGTAAAAAGATACATATATATATATATAGACGATTAATTATAAGAACTCTACGAATCAATGAATTCCGGAATATATATTGAACAGATATATAAGCGAAAATCATTTTCTAGAACAAGTATTGCTAGTTTTAACAGATATATTATTAGGAATATATAAAACAAATTATATACACGTGTAAGGTTGATTCTCGTGCAACCTTTTGCGTGCGCCACTCGTTTCGTTTGCCATAAGTATTTGCAAAATTAATATCCACGGATGGATTCTGTTTTAAGGACACAATGTTCCAGCTAACGCGACGATACTTTCACGCCTAAATGTAAATTAATATACTTCTTCAGCGCATTCTGTATTTTCTAAAACGACTCGTATACAGTTTTACAGTTGCAGCCATCAGTTTTAACTATTATAGACTCACAAATTACGCAATAAATTTGTAACGAAACATCTTGTGCTCGTCTAACATGTTATTTCTAGCCTTCGAGGAAAACTTCAACTCCCCCTCGACTCCTCTATCATAACTTTCTGGGAGCATTCGTCGTGCGCTTTGCTCTCGCCGGCGTCCTTCCGGCTCTGCTCGAACTCCTCCTTCGAGAGGGCCTCGTAATAGCCGTCCACGTCGTTCATCACCTTTCGCACGGTCTCCCCCTTCAGTGCCATGAGCTTCTCGATGTTTATCCTGCGATCTATCTCCGAGAACCAGCCCAGGTTATCGGCAATAAGGTGATTGTTTTTGCAACCGTCGCATCGTACTATCACCACTCCCTTATCGTACGCCAGCTTCGAGATCAGCTTGCTGGTCCTCGTGCTGCATTTCTTGCACGTGAACATCAGCCTCAGTTTGCCCTCCAGCTTGCCCAATTCTCCACGGTCGCCGGCGTCCCCGTGAGCGAGCCGCACGTGACGGAGCGCCCCGGCCCCGTTCGACTCGCAGGAAATCGGAGCGGAGCAGCACGCCGCGTGCCGAGCGCAAGCCACACGCGCGCCAAGGCGCAACGCCTGTCGGACGGAGAACATTTTGATCCCGGCGACTCCCGTGCCCCGCGCGAGCGAAACAAGTTCCGTCGTAGCCGCTACGTGCGAGGTCCCGAGCCACGTCTAGGCGCACGAATCTACGTGCGATCGTAGGGAGAATGCCGAGAGTCCGGCAACGAATGTGATTCTGACTACTTTCGCGACACACATTGCGTCACGCGCTCCCCGCGACTGCCGGGAACCGTCTTGGATTTCGACGCGACGGTCATGCCGGTCGGAGAGTCAAGTCGCTTTTTAGGTTAGGTCTCCGCGTTCTTGTAACATAAATCTTTCCGTTTTAAACGGGCCTAGACTGTACTTGCCTAATTGTAAGTTCGACCACTTGTTATTTGGTTGTCTGACACGAGACTTGTCAAGCTCTGTAACCTAAGTATTTTAAGATCACGCTTGAAACATGGGAACGAAGGTGGACTCCAGCGGAATCATCTACGTTGACGAGAGCCATGAGAAGCTCCGCTCTACGCAGCTGCACCGCATTACACCTTCCGCACTTTGAGACGAAACGAATAAACAATTATACGATCGTCTCTGTCAATTTAACTGACTTTTTCTCTAAATACAAATCGAACTTGGGATTTTACAGTTTCATCATTTAATAATAATATGCACATAATAATACATAACTCTTGCGATGTAAAACATTAATAAAAAATGTTACAGAATGCTGCACACGAAGCTGTGGCTATTGTGTAACATTTATTTTTTTGGATTGCTTGCAATCTAATAAATTACTATCGTTGCATCATTCAGCATTCAGGATTCCTAGTAATTTAGTAAATCGCAAGCAATCCAGCAGGAAAAATAGCATCGTCTGCAGCGGATAATTCGGGCAAAACATGAAATACATGAATCATCGAGAGGCGTACGCATGTCCGACCAGACCCAAACCTAACTCCGAGTGCTTCTTCGTAGGTAAACACCCTCTGTGTAAACTTTGGGCCGCCAGCACCATCGAGTGCTACACCAGCTACGTGCGCACACGTATACGACAGCCATCCCCACCACCCTGGTGGCTATGTGGCAGACGTTCATCGCCGGCATTACTGTTTATCGGGGATCGATCGGCGATTAACCGAATTGGCGAGAAGTGCGGAGCTCGGCGCAGCGCGAAGGCCCGGGGAGTTCAAGGGTGAATCCCGCGGCGGGATCGTGTTACGTGGGACGGGGATCGCACGCGGCCCCGCGGCGCGTCAGCTGGCCGGAAATCAATTGCAATCAATCTCGCGCGACCTACGCTCGACGGACTTGTGCAATTCTGACGCGCCTCGCACGGATTTCACGCGCGAGAACGCGGAATATTTAGCGCGCGCGCGCCACGTCAGCGTGCGTATGCACGTACGCGCGCGCGTTGACGCACACAGAGACACGCGTGCACTTCGTACACTCCTGATTGCTCTCGCGCGATCCCCGCTTTGGAGTTGAATCGGAGGTGGTGTGATGCGCGAGCTGTGACGCTCGAAGATGCTCGCAAACAGTTTTTTGTCATCGCGCGGCGGGGCAACGTCGGCTGATTTCGAGGTTATGTCCTTATTTTGTCGCGGGGGGCAGCTGAACTGACGGGCAAAATGAGGTAGCGTCGAATCAATGATAATTTGCGAACTCATGAATTACATTGTCTCGAGCAGTGCGGCGTGATTAACGGCGGGAGTACCGGGGAACTTGTGCCATGGTAGACGATCGGGCGCCCGTCAACGCGGAGAATAAGTATCGTGCGGTGAACGCGGATCAGGACGAGCCGAGGGGGACGCGCGCGAAAGCAACGATGCCTTCGGAGTTGAGGTCGATCAGCGCGGCTGACTGGATCACGGTCGCCGTCCTCTGCTTCGTGAATCTCATAAATTACATGGATCGTTTCACGATCGCCGGTGAGTCTCGCCCCCTTTGCCTCGCGAACAATTTCGAATCGATAGAGGCAGGAGACGTCGTTTCTCGCGGCTCACTTACGAGGAACTGAATTTTTTTTTTATCGCAGGAGTACTGACGGACATCAAAAGCGACTTTGATATCGGCTACGATAAGTCTGGGCTGCTGCAAACGGCGTTCATCCTGAGCTACATGGTGTTCGCGCCGTTATTTGGATACTTGGGCGATCGTTACAGTAGAAAGTTTATCATGACCGGTGGCGTGTTCCTATGGTGCCTCACGACGTTCATTGGTTCTTACATGAAAGTAAGGAGCTGAGCAGAATGGCGGTCTTGCGCTCTTAAGACACAATGTTTTATGTTTTCAATCTTTGTCTCAAAGTAACGCACAATAACTGTCTTATGACTTGAGAATACAAGACAGCCATTCTGTCCAGGCCCTTAGTATATCCCTTTTTTGTAGACACTGATATTTACTCCAGTACTAAAAATGTCCATAGTCTACATGGCAAACTATGCATTTTCAGTACCGGCAGTGAATATCGGAACGCAGCCTGAATCTTGTTTCCGAGGTAAATCTATGGTCGTATATAAGAAATCTTGTATTCAGTTTGATATCAGTATGGAAAGGTGCCATGGATGTATCTACCTTTGCCACGTGCAAAGAATTTGCGAGGTGTACGTCTCTTATGTGTAATATTTTTTATGTATTTCAGACATTTGGATGGTTCCTATTCTTTAGGGCACTTGTTGGCATAGGAGAAGCCAGTTATTCTACAATTGCGCCGACAATTATTAGCGATTTATTTGTAAAAGATGTACGTTCCAAGATGCTCGCCCTATTCTACTTTGCTATTCCAGTTGGGAGGTATATTTGTTACGTGCTGCATGATTAGAATATACATTTCCTCATATTTCTTGTTATTACGTATATGCATTTATTATTTTAGTGGTCTAGGATATATTACGGGTGGTGAAACTGCTCGTATCACTGGCCACTGGCAATGGGGGTTACGTATTACTCCTATATTAGGCATCATAGCGATTCTTCTGTTACTCACTGTGGTGAGAGATCCTATCAGAGGCGAGCGAGAAGGAGGCGTTCACTTGACGAGTACTACATGGTCGTATGATATCAAGGAGTTATTAAAAAAGTAATTGTCAATTTTGCACTTTTTCCATTGAAGCTTTTACAATAACGTAAGACGCGTTCTCTTAGTTATTAATACTTTTTGTTTAAGATAGTAGTGATTTATACTATATTTCTCTATCCGTTACCAAGTGTTCACCGTGATCTTTGTACAATAGAATCTCAATTATCTAGCAAGATGTGAAATCAAGACCATGACGGATAATTGACTAGATAGACATACAATGTGCACGTACATATGTATATGTACAGGACGATTCATGAAGTGTTATCCCTGTTTATGAAACACATTCCTGGGGCTGTTTCCTGTAAAATTTCCCTATAAACTTGTAATTGATTTTTCTTTCGATTTTTTTAAATGTACAATGCAGAATGAAGAAAAGAAATTGTTTTAGAATGCTTTTTGATTAACAGATTAACAATCGTCAAAGTATTTATATTGTATTTATAACTTTGTTTCTATCGAAATTCTGAAAAACTTTTCCCTTTAATCTTGGCTTTCAAGCTTTCGCGGCTGCTGTCTTCTTCAGTCGTAATTGCTTCCGGATGGTTGCCGCGTCCGGTTGCAGTGTTGTGCCGACGTTTCACAAACATTGCATCATCACGGCTGGGAGGCTCTGATATTGTATCCAATATCTTGCAGACTGCAATGTTTGCGAAACGTCAGCACCACACTGCAAACGGATGCGGCAACCACCCCCGGAAGCCATTACTTTTCCTTTTAATTTTTAAATAATTGTAAGTTTTTAATTGTGAATCGTATTTTATTTACATATTAACATTTTTTTTACTTCAAAGATTTTAGGATGATTCTCCCTAAGTGAAAATATAACTTCGTGAATCACCCTGTATATTATAAAGAGTAGATCGAATTATTTAATTTATTTGACTGATTACATAAGCTAATAAAATTGAATTGAATTTTAATTATTTTTTATTGGCTCAATGAGTTATAAACAATATACATAGTGCCACAATAACAATGATAAGATTAAATGACAGTGAATGGGGACTGATGGTAAATAGAGTGGCAGATAATTAAAATTCTATTACATAACTTTTTCCTCCATTTGTAGTTTCTATACTACGGTACTACACTCGTTACAATATTGATATGATTTTCAGTTCAAGCTTTATGCTGTCTACTGCAGGATTTACTTGCGTGACGTTTGTCACTGGTGCACTGGCATTTTGGGCGCCAACATATCTAGAATTAGGTTTTCAATTACTTCCTCATGGAGCAGATGTCGATCCAAACGAGTACGCTTTTTTAGTACTTATTTTTCAATACGTTTATTATATTATAAAAAAATATATAATTATTGTTACAATGTTGCAGTGTTTCATACAAGTTTGGATTGATTGGTATGGCATCCGGTCTAATAGGTGTACCCTTAGGCTCAACTATAGCGCAAAAGTTACGAGCTTATTGGCAACAAGCTGATCCTTTGATATGCGCCGTAGGTCTTCTAATAAGCGTTCCATTATTATTCTTCGCTATGATTACTGCCAATACAAGTCCTACTCTCTGTTACACATTAGTATTCTTTGGTCAGTTGTCATTAAATTTGAATTGGGCTATTGTAGCAGATATATTACTGGTAGGTGCAATATTTAAAATACATACATTTCTTATAATTATTAATATTTTAATAAATTTAATTTTTCTTGTATGTTGCAGTATGTAGTAATTCCCACAAGGAGATCCACAGCAGAAGCATTCCAAATACTTCTTGCGCATGCTCTTGGAGATGCAGGCAGTCCTTACCTCATTGGACTTGTATGTATCAATAAACTCACTACACTAATATCACAAATAAATAAATTATTAATATCTTTTTAGATATCAGAGGGATTAAAGTCATCGTTCATGCCGCACTCAGATGTAGGAGGATCTAATGGTCATCCAGATGTAGCTGTCGACTTCCGTAGCCTACAATATGCAATGTTTCTGACAATGTTTGTAGAAGTACTCGGTGCTCTATTCTTCTTCTTCACAGCATTGCATATACAGAAGGACAAGGCGTTGGTTGATCTTGCTATCGCGGGTAAGTAAAATAATATGCCTACTAGGAACAATACTTGAAACAAAATTGTCGTTTAGATAACGTACTGTGTTTTGCACGTTTTCCATAATTGAAATTGCATCAATATAGCTTGTTCGACATATATACATACATACTAATATTGTCATTATTAGTGTTATGTATAAACTATATTAGTGCAAGTATAAATATTTTTTGCAAGAGTAATTTTTTTATATTTAGTTCCAAATATTATATGTGCGTAAACATTATTAAGTAAAGCATTGGGATCATTATTCACAAGTTATTTGGTAAGTGTAATATATATATTAAGATATTGAATAATCAAATAGATGATTAAGGCTCCTGGGTGCTCACCGCGGCTATCTTGAAATTGTGACGTCAGAAGCGAGAAATGACACGTAGAAAAATCGTCCGGTGTATGTTTACATAAAAAGATATTTGGGTGAAAACACGACAGATCGTTTCGGAATACTTGTAAAATTGGCCGGTAACTATCCTTTTCTCTTGACAGTTAACCAAAAGTCGTAAAACAAAGCCTAAACATGTGGCAAAAACACGCCGTTTGACAACCATCGAGAGGAGTGGAAAATGTACCTTTCACGTGTGTGTTCCTTGCAAATTTTATACATCGGCCAATTTTATGAGTTTTCTGAATACGTTGCACATTATAGCACAAGTGCACAACGAATAATAACGAAATAAAGCGGACGACAAAATAGGTTTATCAATATGTCAAATGTCATGCGGTACTCTGTAAAGGACCGTCTACATTGGATGTAAGCAGTAAGACGTAAGAAACCTATAACCTCTACTTATCAGTGTAAAAGCTAAAGTATAGACATAATTAAAAAAAAATGTATAGTACTGGTCGGACTGCACTCTCATTCGCCGAGAGTAAACGTCAGAGCTGAAGTAGGAGTAAAAAAATGAGAATGATTCATTTTTTACTCTTACTTTTTACGTCAGACTTACATCATCTATTGTAGACTATCCTTAAAGCCCGTATCAGACTACGGATTGAGATTGGGATTAGATTGAAATTTAACCAATCACAGTAAAGTTTACTAATCTTAAGTTCAGTAACTTTAAGGGCCGGGGCACACAAATGGCCTTAAGCAATAAGACGTAAGCAGTAATCGAATTGACCAATCATAGTCGAGAATTATGGCAGGCATATTATATATTCTCGACTATGATTGGTCAATTCGTTTACTGCTTACGTCTTATTGCTTAAGGCCGTTTGTGTGCCACGGCCCTTACTCTGATTGGTCAAATTTCAATCTAATCCCAATCTCAATCCGTAGTCTGATACGGGCTTTAAAGGCCCAAACACAATCAACAGGAACAGGGAATAGAATTTCTCACGCATTGGATTGGTTGGAAGAAAATTTCCGACGAATCCAACGCGTTAAAAATTCTATTCCCTATTCCTAATGCCTGTTGCCTGGCATTGTGTGATAGGCTTAAGAGTTGTTCGACAGTTCTCATTTCTATCACTCAGCTCTGGCGCCACCGTCAACGCGGAATTCTCGTCTCAGGGGCCAGGAGCCTTAATTGCTAATATATTATATAATAACGCTATATCGTATTAATAAATTAACATATAACATACACCATATTACGTCTGTAGTCTAGAGCTGGTTGGAATGTGAAATAAAAATTTGCACCTCTACTAAAACATTCTATTTTTACACAGTGCATGAATTGTTCGCAACTTTGGACTTACAAGCACAAGCTTTGGGATCAAAAAGAAGGTAGTATACCTACCTTTATTAATTATAGTATCGTTTAACACGTTAAGCGCCAAAAGTTTCTTTACTATATTGAAATATATTGTGTAATGTAATATAAAGTATATGTATATAAGAGATATATAAAGAATACGTAAATATATTCAAATGTAGTGTGTAAAAGGTATATGAAATATTTTATAAGATTACAAGCATAAGTAGCAAAATATTAAGTTTTATTTGCACATTTATTTACATTAATTGTTTTAATTCATAAAATTAATGGTTTTTAATGAGAAAATTATAAAAATGTTAGGCCGTTTCCTAAAATTTATTAAATGTATGATTATAACTTTTTAAAAAATAATTTAAGTTTATAAAGATAAATCTTTCTGCACTTTTACATTTTTAAGAAAATTTTGTATATCTTTGTCCGTGGCGCTTAATTTGTTAAAATTCAATATTTTTATTTTTATTTTTTATTGCAATTGTTTTATGTGCAATGATTTGAAACATTTGTAATATAATTTCGAGTTTTTATTTTATATTCCACCAAAATATACTATATTAAAGAAGAAGATATCCGTATTCATATTAAACGTTTTTTTAACATTAGAGAAAGAGAGAGAGATATATATGTATATATATATCTTTTTGAAATCAAGTAGTTTGATCATATGAAATTTGTTATGAGTTTTCCTATTTACATTTATTGATCTATTTAACAATGCTGCTTCACGTGTTAAAGAACGCACAAATCAAACATTGACTTGGTTATAACAATTCTCAATCCACAAATAACAAATATTTAAATTTACCATCTCACAGATTGACGAAATATTATTTTTCTTATCATCTATAAATCTCTTCGTGTAGCTTTTTAGATTTTTTATATAATTTTGTACAGACAAATCAATACATTAATTTCTTATTTTTTGCAATTAACATTGCAATATAAACATTGTATAATATAATTATAATATTTATGTCTCTATACTTGATAATTATATGTTTGGATTACTCTGTCCTAAAAATATAGTGAATTTACCTATTTTTCACAATCTTAACTTTTAGGTCAGTTGAGACATTCCACATACATTGTTATAGGTACAAGAAAAACTTGGTCTTTTGTTTAAATTTCCTTTAAATTTTGTACAAATAAGAAATTAGTACAATAAGAAATTAATTATGCCTTTAAAATAACAAAATTGCATCTTAAAAATTTTTATACAAAATCAAAGAGTTACAAAAGTACAAAATTAACTCTTATATGTTGGAAATTTTCTATTTTTTAATCTACAATTGTACAACATATCTATATTTGAATCATTTAGTATTAGAGATGTATATTATAAAATGAATGGTTTATATTATTTTTGTTATTAAACATTTTTCAGAAATGGGCTATTTTTAGTGTAAACGTGGTATATTTTACATGGATTAGTTCGGAATGTGCATGTAGTTATTTTTATATAACATGCAAACATCTTTCTTGCAGACAAATGTCTAGATACTAAGAATAATGGGCAAGCTGAATCAACGCATTTATAGATCATCACTGGGCCTTCCCTGATAATATGCTGTATATCTGGTACATAATTTATTTTCATGATTTCATTCTTTTTTTTTAATTTGGTTTGGTAATCAAGTTAATCTTGTACAAATAGTGATTCTATAATGAGGGTTTTTTGTTTTAGATATATACTTATAAATTAACTTAAACAATGTCTTAAGAAAGATAAACATATATTTCTTTAAGAAAGATATGTGTGATGTGCATTTATTATGTGTAAATTATTTATTTTATATAAACATGATCGAGGTACACATGAAATTTTATGATGTTTTTATATTGCACATGAATTAATAATTATTGTTTCCATTTCTGATTCTCTCTCTTTTATAATTATTTAATATAATTACTACATCTTCTGAATTCTTGGAGAATCTATTAGATACTTATGAAAACGATATCTTTCTCAATATCTCTTTACCAAATAAGATTTGAAATTCTATATTTAACTGTATTCAATCAAAAAATTAAACTTACTTAAGAAATATATGTTGGTTGATATTATAAATAAAATTTATATAGTTTTACATAGTCAAGTTGTATTTAAAACGACATTGACCAATTAAATTGATTATCAATTATCATTTCATATTCTTTTTTACATTGGGTTTTTCAAATTATTACATATTTAGTTTATAATTTCTAAAAGTATTTTTCTGTTTTTTTTCTATTTTTATGATTTATATTCTCTAAAAATGCATGAGGTATTTTAAACCTAGGAATATGAAGTTTTTCACGTTATTTATTGTTTTAATTTTATATTTTGCCCGAAAATGTCCTAAATGGAAAATATAACGTATTAAGATAATTAAAAATGTTTTACTACTATATGTACTTTTATATAATAACCTAATTCAAATAAAATTGTTATATCTTTATATAGTTACAATACAGATAAAATATGGCTCAGGCTTGATATTCCTATTATTAGAATTAATATTAGGATTTAAAAAAAAGGATTTTTATTGGTATTTATTGAATATAACGGAGGAATATTTTATAAATAACATTAAAATGTAATACTAAAGTAATATGATATCATCTTTTAGAATGATGAAGCTTGCCTATAAATCTATGTGTGGAATGTAACACAACTAATAGACTTAGTTTATGTATATTTGTGGATGTATGTCATGTGGATATGGTACAATGTTGCATGTATGTTTTTAAATAACTAAATTGTAATTGGGAGAATTGCAAAGTTGTCAATATATATATATATAATATATATATAAATACATTTATGTTGAAAACTGAATAGATGGGATTTCAAGATGCATTATGCACAATTTATGCTTGGTGTTATACAATATTATTGTTGCTATACATATTTATCACATAATAAATGGATTTTAACATTCTTAGCTTCATACAGATGCTTGAAGGATTGCTAGAAATATTGCTTGTGTATACCTGTAGTATTTTTATCAATGAGTGTATATTGGTTGTGTGTGTACTCCACTGTTTCATTTTACTTTAGAAATCTTACTCAAATCTCATGACCTGTCATTACATGGAAGCAAGGATCTTTATTCAAATAAGTTTAATATATTTGAATACTACTTGCTTATAATTGGAGAAGTGTTTAGTATACACACTTCATATGTAAGAATTAATCAACTTAAAAGCGTGGGAATTAAAAAATATATATATATTATTTTAACACAATAATAACTTATATGTGTAATATATTATCATATATTTGTATGTAAATCGATATATTTAGCTGCAATGCAATCTAGCTGCAGATTTTTTATCTGTCCGGATCTGCATATTATATAATTACATATGTTATAGTTTGTGTTATTTATATTATTTTCAGGTGGAAGTCTTTCAGATTCAGTGTGTATTTGCAACGACCCAGTTAACAGCGAATTACAAAATGATACAAATACGATACTAGAATTTAACAGGCATCAACCGTCTCACTAGATTTTTGTGGGGTCTTAATACTTTACATAGGCCATTGTTACGAATGTACAGCTTAATTCTATCAAACGTAAATATGGATTGGACTTTATAATATAAAATGTGTCATTGATACAAAGATATATGTATTATATGCAGCATGTATTTGCAAAGAAAGTTTTCATATAGTCATAATGAAGAGTACCTTCAGAAAAATAGTTACAAGTTACCACTGTTAATAATGTACAATACGTTAGACATGTTAACAATGCAGCTCTAGTGTCAGAATGAAGATGCATATGTAAATTGTACAATATTTTTTAATGTTATATTTTTATAACTTCTCATATTGCAAATTCATGTAATGTCTCATCGCATAATAGATGCAAATTTGTATGAATAATTGTATGAAGAATCTATGCAGAATGCTAAGGTTGTATTAGTAATTGCGTATAAGATTAGTATAAGGCACAATTATTTTAATCAAATATAAATATTTGATTAATTTATCAGTAGGTTTATACTGCTCTAGTATTAAACTATAAAAATGCTAACAATTGCATAATTCTTTAGAAGACATTTTCAACGGATACTATGAATTTAACTTTTTTTTTTTATATAAAACTTGTAATTATTAATTAACTATTACTATCAAGTTTTGGTTTGGTTTGGTAAGTTAGACATCCGTACAGATAAATATATTTGAATAAGTATAAATGTTATTTTTTCCCAATAAAATAAACAGGACATTTTTGAATGTTTTTTAGAAATATTACAATTACAATACAAAGTATTATAAAATAATATATTGTAATAGTAAATATATTGATTTTAAATAATTAATATAAATATTATAAATTGTTACAGAATTAACTGCTCTTTTCTTCCAGTGATGTAAGATAACGGTTCTTTCCAAAATTTTTAATATATGAATTATCTTTCAATAGTCATATTTATAATTATTATGTAATGCGAGTTTAAAATGTTTATATTTAATGAAACAGAAATATAATTCTGTTATGTAAAATGCACATTGGGACATTTAAAAGTTTAATAAAACCTATTGAAAAATATGTATATATTTTATATTATTATATAATTAGATACGTAACGCCTATACATCTTCACATAAAAGGAAAGTAAACACAAGGTTTATGTAAAGTTAGTATTGATTAAATAAAATTATAAAATCCATGTTAAATTGATTAACTGCGAAAATTGGAAGATATGAAATTTAAGATTTAAACTAGATGAGGTCGAGAAAGTTATAATGTCACGAGCTTTTATTTAAAAATAAATATTCGATAACTCAGCTAAGTATACCATATGATAAAAGTGATTGAACCATATGTATTTTAGCGCAAAATGACAGTACTTACATATACAATGATGAGCAGAAATTACATAGATTGTAGATTTAATCTGCATTTGATAATACTTTAACTATAAGAAACGAATTGTACATTACGTTATATATTCTGCAAATAAATCTTTTTGTATACAGAATTATGTATTTTGCTTAAAGATAATTTCTGAAGAGGAAAGAAATCATCTTGCAAATGATGATTGTAACTCGAGTACACATGAAGGTTCTTTATTTGTTGTTTTATTTTTGAGACTGTAAATGAATATATGTGGCAGCAAGCGATTAAAAGCGAATTGAGAAATACCAAAGTCAATCAGTTCTGCTTTTGAAAATTAGCGATATATTTTATAGAAGAAATGTCCATTTTTTATTATTGAGTTTTCCTTGCAGAGTCTCCATAGAATCATGGTTTATCTCGTCTTATTTTCGCATTGATTTGCATATTCTCGTGTCAATGGGTTTTTTTATCGTACAGATATGTCAACTCTAAATTTTTCGTCCGATCGTTTTCTAGACCACCCTGTATATGTACACAGAATACACCGCAGCATCGTGTAGCGTGTGTCTGCAGGTTGCGGTTGCGTCACAAATAAGCAGGCGAAGTCAGTATTTTTAATGGAAAGTCGAAGACTGCCTGAATAGAATGAGCTATCGGGGAGGGAAGCGACACTCTCTCAGTTTCTTTGATCAATAATGAAACTTCTCTTCGCTTTTCTTCTCACTGTCTCTCTCTTTCTTTCCATTTTACTTCCCTTTCTTTTTCTCTGTTTGTCTCTTTTTCTCTCATTGTCTCTACTCTTTTTTCCATCTCGCTCGATCCTCGCTTTCTCATTCCCCACGCATCTCCCTTGTGTCGCTGTCTTACCTTATACATTTTTAACCCTTATTTCGGCCCCCGCGTAGACAAGGAGACGACTCAAAGCGAGAGAGCCAAGTTTTAACAACCCTTAAGGTGTATCCCCAAGGCCACCGGCCCTCTTTCCTCCAGATAATCCACTCGGCGAGTCGTTCGCGCGTGAGCCTCTGTGGAAGAGGACTCGATAGCCTGCATCCTTCGAGGGCCGGCTTCCGAATCCAAGGAATTTTGGTCCCCGAAATAAGTAACTTCCTTAGGAGTCAATAAGAATGTTAAGACTTTATTTAATACATAGAGCATGTCGCATCTATCGCATTTATCATTTTAAATAGAGATTTCTCGATGTCATGATCTACAGCCGAATTTATCTTGATAAAAATTTGATGGACAAACCTTATTCTTTACATAATTTTCCAATGTTTATACAATTTTAGTAAGTAACATTTATATACAGTTTCTGTTAAGGTGAACTCTTTGTGTCAAAAAATATAATTTTTATATGTATTCATCTATTACATTTTGAAGCCTAATCTTCTATCATCTTTAATTTTCTACGCTTAAAGATTTCCATGATTTCGTGAAATCGATCTTAAACTCTCCGGAAAACATCTCAATTAAAATCTGAAGAGAACATCTTGATTAAAATTTGATGAAGTTAAAGTATTATAGAATATCAAGTAAAAATGATGATAGTTTTATTTGTTACAATATTTTTCCTGTTTTCTTGTTATAAAATGGAATTGTGGAAATTTAGTTCAATATATTTAATTATAACAATTTTTGCAAGCCGTTTGAATTTGTTCATATAAAATTTTCGATTTAATGTATCGACTTTATTATTCGATCTGTCTGTCAAAAGGTAGCAAGGAGTACAAGAATTACCAATAATAAGTCAATGAAATCAACATGAATTAATATGTGTTATAAAAATATGGTGGTAAATGTTCTATGTACAAAGCGATAGGAAACATTGATATTTGTAACACGACTTAAGAATTTTTCAAACGTTTATTCGTAGCGAGCGAAGCGATCGAGCAAGGCCGACTTTTCGTCGGCCCTCCGCAATTTTTCCTAACAGCCCCGGTGGTGTCCGATGATGGGGGACAGTGGAACATGAAGCAATGCCGGGAGGGGGAACCTTCGGGGGTGGTGCCGGCACAAAGAAAAGCGCGAGGAGGTGGGGGGCAAAGGATGAGGAGAGGCCACCGCGGTGCGGGATAATGCTTAACAAGCCGACTTGAAAGGACAGCCGCCATTTTGAGTCAATACTTGAAAGTCTTTGCTCATTAAGAATATTTTACATCCACCTTCCACACGCTACGCGACCGACGTCGCAGTTGCCTCCCTATAACCGGCGCCATCTCCGCCTCTTCTTTCTCGCTCCCACGCTCGGACTTTCTTTTTCTTCTCGTCCTTTCTTGCCCTCGGCTTCCAGAGTCGTTCTCCTCCTCCTCCTGCTCCTCCTCCACCTCCTCTTTCTCATCTTCCTCCTTCGTCTCGCGCAGGGGCGGCTGCACCCTCGAAGATGGAAGTTATTTACGCGGCACTCGGAGCACGCTTCACCGTCGCGACCCCGTAGCCGACCCTCACCCCCGACGTTTCGATCTGGTCTCCCCTTTGCCACGCTAACACGGTGCCCCCGCCTCATCGCCCTCGCCCTCGCCCTCATCGGGCACGCAGGCAGCCACTGGGCAAGGAAGGGTGGCCAGCGCCAACCCCGCGTCCTCGTTCTCTCGGCGAGGGATGGAGAAATCTCCGACTTCGCCATGGGGGCCCACCTTCGTGCGCCCTACCAGCAACGACGGGTAAACACCGTCCCATCTCGCAGCGTTTTTCCTAATTCCTACCCAATTTCGCTTTTAGCATTTCAATTTCTACCTTCCTCCCTCTTCTACCTCCGATTCCCTCCCGTTCGTCGCTCGTCGGAATGACGGATTATCGTCGGACGAGCGAGGGCTCGATGGGGAAGGGCCCTGTGGGCGGAATAGATGAGCGAAAATGACGAATAGCCGCGCACGACGGATGAATGTTTATCACGAATTTGGGACAAGTTTCTCGGGTTCTAACATAATGGCAATTTATTTTATCTGTTTTCTCGACAATGCCCACTGTTGTATTTGCATGACAAACGATTCCTTCTACTTTGTAAGTCCTGAATCTTGTACGTGAAATAATTACATGAAAAAAATTACAGACTAGTAAAACATTCTTATTATAAATATAAAATACACATACATGTGCTTTCGAGACCAATACTTACAATATAAAGATGTATTTATAGATCTACTATTTACCATCCCCGACGGGAAGATATTTAGAAAATTATATGACGAAATCTGAATGAAACTTGGAATTATGCGTACATATTTCGAATAACATGCAGAAATGAGAGACCTTTCATCAAATATTGATAAATGTTTGCACAATGTATTTCTAAATAGTATGTCATCAAAACAGCAGCGAATTACTTTGGCAGAATATTTGCACAATTAATTGCTGTCGTGTTACGACGAGCTACGAGGCGTCTCATACTCGTAAGTAAAATTCAGGCGAGACTTGATAAAAGCAGGCCCAGCGGTAAACACGTCCCACGCTATATTTTTTTTAAACATTTTAAACATTACACGTAACTGTTGCTGAGCAATTTTGTTTCTTAATGTCGAAATAATTGTGCATGATTTATTCCCTAAATTAAGATTATCAATTTTTGGACAAATACCATTTAGAAATTTTATTCCTACAAAACCGCTGCGTTTTGGCCAATCACCTTAATGAAACCATTCTAGAATTTCCTCCTTTTGGACGATGCAATTGTTGCACATTTTCCTATTGGGGACATAAATCTAGAACAAGTAACTCTGGATTCCTCGAGTATGAACAAAATTATGTATTGCTGACATTGCAGATACGTATTATAATATGTATATTGAAGCATTGAAAAGCACACACAATTGTTGGCAGCAATAAATATTTGAACATCGATAAAGATTTTTGCGTCAGAGAGACGCTTAAATTGTACATAAAAACAATATTAAAAATTATAAATACACTGGTGAAGAGTAGTTGCCAACAACGCAATGCGCTTTATCTACGGTACATTTTAATTGGAGCGGTAAAAAGTTGTCACATCCTAATAGTAGAATCGTAATCTTTTTAAAATTTTGCTACTTAATTTTTTAACTACCACGCATCAGATTCCTCTGGCGAACCGTCAGCGTTCCCTTATTGCGCATACATTTCGCGCTGTCTCGCACTCATACGTGTCAAATAATTCACCGTGTCCAGGACGAAATAATTTCCTCGTCACAAAACACTTCCGCTAGATACAGGCCAATGATTCATATCCGCAACCGTGCCGCGCGCGGAGAGCGCTTTTTAAATCGTCACGAGGCTTTTTTTCGGTTTCGCCTCCCCGCGAGTCCGTGCCGGAAAAACAATGGAGCGCGATGTTCCCGCGCGTGAAGACGGGGGTTGCGCGGAGCAAGGGGGAGGGGTGGGCAGGGGGGGGGAGGCAAAGGGGTGACTGCGAAAATAAATCAGGCCTGTACCGACGCGGCGACGTTTCTCGTTCAATTGTATCAACTTTAACCCCTTCATTGTCTCATTTTTTTCTCGGCTGTATCGTTCTGCTCTCGCGCCGTTTGACCGGATTCGTCCGACCCTCTTCGCTCCTTTCTCCGCGGTTCGTTCGCAGCGAACCGGGTTCGAAGTTTGCCCGTGTGAACAATTGGCGTGCACAAATGGAACGCTCGAAAGCGCATATATATATATAATAAGCCGTAAAGAGACAGAGCACGAGAGAGATGGAAAGGACGGCAGAATGAAACAAAAACTGGTCTCGCTATATAAAACAATAGGGGGTTCCTCCGACGGGGATGTGAGAACGCGAGCGGAAGATCGGGAGAGAGTGATTGGAAGGGAGAGAGAGAGAGAAAGAGACACACACATAGAGAAAGAGTGAGAATGCAAGCAGCGAGAGGCCAGAGAGGAGCAGCAACCCTATCGCGGTGCGCGGTGCGATGTGTGTGAAATTCAAGAACCTGTAGCGCCAAGAAGAACAAAACGCGCCGGTGCCAGCTGTGCGGTGCATACGTTATTAGCGCGCTGCTCTGTGGCCTCCTTAGAATCGTGCTGCACCGGCACGTAATCTGGATTAACTAACTCTGGGCTAGCAACCGGAAACTTCGATAAATATAATTCGAGACCGCCGGACCTGGTTCTTCATATCTCTCTTTCCACGAGTACGCAGGGCTAAGAGGCACAGAGAGAGAAAGAGTGAGAGAG